GGGGCTCTGCAACTTACCTGGCTGCTTCTTGCTCCTTGTGGCCGGACCGAGGGCTGCTGGGAGCAGGGGGCGGGGCTTGTCGCATGTGCCTACCCCCTGGGCTCCTTACCGGAGCTGCTCTCATGTGCACTCCCGCAGGAAATGACCCCTGAGCACTGCATCCCTAGAGTCGGATTCGACTGGCTTTTGAGGAAGGGAAACCTTTACCTTTACCTTAGGAGCTTTTGTGAGTCCCTGCTCACTCCTTCAGAAATGTGACTCCTGAATGCTCCTGTCCTGCGACAAATATTGTTAGTCCTTAAGGTGCCACTGATTGCTGTCTTGAAGTATCTGAAGGGCCGTCGCTTAGAGGAGGGCAGGGAGCTGTTCCTGTGGGCAGCAGAGGAGAGGACTCGCAAGAATGGGTTTGAATTCAGGGCAGGAAGGTAAAAAGGTAAAGGTTCCCTTGCTCGAAAGCCAGTCGAGTCCGACTCTAGGGTTGCGGTGCTCATGTCCGTTTCCAAGCTGAAGAGCCAGCGCTGTCCGAAGACGTTTCTGTGGTCATGTGGCCGGCGTGACTAAACACCAAGGCGCACGGAACGCTGTTACCTTCCCACCGAAGCGGTACCTATTTATCTACTTGCAATGTCTTGCTTTCGAACTGCTAGGTTGGCAGGAGCTGGAACTAGAGACGGGAGCTCACTCCGTCATGCGGCACACTCGGGTCTTGAACTGCTGAACTACTGACCTTCCACAGCCTGCAGTTCAGCGTCTTAACCACTTGAGCCACCACAGCAGGAAGGTACCAGCTGGATATTACTTTTTAACAGTACGAGTAGTTCTTCAGTGGAATTGGCTGCCTTGGGAGATGGTGCGCTCCCCCTCCCTGGCAGTCTTTAAGCAGCGGCTGGACAAACACTTGTCAGGGATGCTCTAGGCTGATCCCACATTGAGCAGGGGGGTTGGACTAGATGGTCTTGAATGTCCCCTTCCTACTCTGTGATTCCATGATTCTATGAGTCTTGCTCTTTCTTTTCTACTGTCTTAAGGGGTAATTTTTCTTTAAAGTAAGTCTCTAGCCCTTTCTATTGTGAAGGTATCTCCCAACAAAAAGGACTAGAGATTTATTTAAAAAAAACATTGAAAGCTAGGATCTCAGAGAAACTAGTCCACGGTCACAGTAGATTGTTATAAGGCTAGAACATTTGAGAGTCAGTGTGGTATAGTACTTAAAGCGTCGGACTAGCATCTGGGAGACCCAGGTTCGAATCCCCGCTCATGCCATGGATGCTTGGCTGAGAGACCTTGGGCCAGTCGCACGCTCTCAGCCTCGCCTACCTCACAGGGTGGTTGTGGGAATAAAAATGGAGGAGAGGAGAACCACGTGAGCTGCTTTGGGTCCCCCTTGGGAAGAAGGTCACGATAAAAATAAAGGAATAATAAATAATAATGCTATAATGATACACCAGTTTCCATTTTAAAAGCCTGAGCAAGTTCCCAATTCCTGGTCTGCCTTCTGAATCCTGTGTGGTCGGTTCTTTATACTCCCTCTAAGCTCTGGAGTCCTCTGAGCAAAAATTCTACTTTTGTGAGCTCCTGGCATTAAAGTGGTGAGCGAGCGATTTGGCTGCTGCATAAATTAGTTTGCTCTGGAGCCATCCCTTCCTGAGCGAAGACAAAAACGTGTGAGCCGGAGGCTAGAAAACTGTGAGCTGGCTCACACTAACTCAGCTTAGAGGGAACACCGGAGCCATCCCTTCCTGAGCGAAGACAAAAATGTGTGAGCCGGAGGCTAGAAAACTGTGAGCTGGCTCACACTAACTCAGCTTAGAGGGAACACCGGAGCCCTCCTTCCTGAGCGGAGACAAAAATATGTGAGCTGGAGGCTAGAAAACTGTGAGCTGGCTCACACTAACTCAGCTTAGAGGGAACACTGGACAAGCCCAGCCAGTTTCTGAACTCGGCCTCCGTAGCCATGCCTTTAATCGCAGTTCTGCAGGTCGGAATTATTTCCCTGTACCGATATGAAAGGTCTCACAGGATCCGGTGGCTGTGGATCAGAGCAAAGTTGCCACAGCTGGTAGGAAACTTGGCCAGCCCTTGAAACTTTGATGCTGGCGTGGAGGAATTTAAAATATTTTCTTTTTCAGTGCTGATGCCAGAAATGTTTTCTTTTTCCCCCCTTGCTAGGCCTAGAATGGGAAGCATTCCTCCAGGACTGCCGTCGGCCACGCTTCCCGGCTCCCTCCCGGTCCTGCCGGTCTCCTTCCCCCAGAAACAGCATCGCCTGTGAACTTGACGGAGGGGGGGGGGACCCGTGCCCAAAGAGAAGCAGCAGCCAATCTGCACTTAATCCCTGGACCCCAGTCTGTCTGAACTGGGGGGAGGGTAGTTCACATTTCAGGTAGCAGACTGCAGGGAAGTCTGGGAGGGGGGCTGGTAGTGGAAGGGGGTGGGGAGCGGAAAGCAGGGGAAAGTTTTTGACATTCTCTCCGGCAACTCCTTCCTCCTATTGGGGGATGCAAATGCTCCATTCCTGCCCTGCAACCAATGACGTCCCCGGGTGGGCGGGGCCTCCCATTGACAGAATGAACACCTTGGTGTTTACTCCGAGCGGCAATGCATGCAGCCCCTAGACTGTACGGGAGGGGAGGGGCCGAGTGCGTCTGGGAGGGGAGGAGGGGGGAGGGGGAGGAGGAGGAGGGGGCTGCCAGCGAGGATGGGCTATAAGAGAAGGCAGCAAAGAGGAGCTAGGCGACAGGGGTGGGCGTGAGCAGGCTGTGCTAGCAAAGCGAGCGGCGGAGCAAAGAGGCGTGGAGGGCACCCGAGGGGCACGGCGGCTTCCTCCTGACCCTTTCATTCATTCATTCGGAGGCCTTTCGCTACCTCCGGGACCCGGTGGGGGAGGCCGCCGC